TGACATGCCTCGTTGTTCTTGAGATTATGTGATCAGGGAGGGAAATACTTTATGTTGGAACCCCCAAGAGAGAAAAAAAAAAAAAAAAAAAAAAAAACAGAGAAATTGTAAGAGCTCCATGAAATGTTTATTTTAAGACTTATAGATTTCAGATCACCTTTACACAAAATGAGGAAGTCTTCACAGAGTCTCCTTTTGAGTGACAAGTCGATCAACATCAAGCAATTATTATTCCGCACATAGTAAAAAAGGGGGAACATCCGCTGAAATATGAACGGTTCTTTCTGTGTATATCAACAACGATTACAAGGACTAGAACTGACAACGATGGACCTGTCAACACTAAAAAAATTAGAATATAGTGTTTTTGTAATTTGAGCAATCATAACAATAATCACACAGAAGGTGGTGGTGAAAACAAGCGCCAGTGGTTCCCGAACTGTTCCAAAATTTGTTCATGGACAATCCATAGAACTTACGTCTACCGAAAATATCAACATTGATAAGTTAAATGAAGTTATGTTCAAAAGTTGATCTTCTTCATTTCATAAGTTATGCAGAAATCCCTGAATACATCCACAACAGAGTCCTAGAGGTTGGCTGAAAATATTTTAATTTAAGGACCAAATGCCACTAACAAGTTTTAAGTATTAAAAAAATAAGTTGTAAAACTACAATTCCTTGGAAGAATGATCAATAGCACCTCTCTTTTTAAAAATATTATTGTTTGTTTCAAATTTAATAATTTAAAACAAATGACAAAAAAATCGAGTGGAAATTGTTAGTCCCTCCTGTACAATCATTACTTTAATTTGAATTATTAAAAAGCTTTGATCTAATTTTGTTGATCAAATAATTAATAAGAAACAGTTCTTGAGGAATCATTTAGAGTTAGAGAAGCAAGTATTTGGATATCAAAACATTGCAGCGTGAATCCAAACTGTCAAAGTTGTCAAAATTAAATGTTGAATTCGTTTCACTATACGGGACTCGGCAAACACGTCCTACAAAACAAACAATAATTACGCCTTCTTGTGGCGGGTATGTTGATCATAATCAACTCAATAATTATTTGATCAACAAAAATAGGTCGAAGATTTTTAATAATCCAATATTAAGTAGCTTAAAAAATAATAAATGCTACCAGGCTAATGTTTAAGATAAAAAAATTAAAGGACAATACCCGAATAAAGATGTTTGTTTACAAAAAGGCAAATATTTGGCAAGCCACTGCTCTCGTTAAATAATATTTTGAAATAAAATTGTTTCAATTTGAAATAAAATTATTACTTTTTATAATTAAGTATAAATACTGATTTTATTTTGTAAAGGAGAGCCAAAAGCGTTTCTATCTCAAAATGTTATTGCCATTAGAAGTTATGTAAAAAGATGTGTATCCTTTTTCTAAAATAATTTGTCACTTTGTCATTCATTTATCGAACTTTAGACAAAGCAACGGATATTTGAGATATATTGCCAATAGTGCTTGCAACAATGTTAGATAATAAGAGAAACACTGATGTTTAAAGCCGTGAATTCATGAATTATTTGAAAAATAAAATAATAATAAGATGAACTGATCTCCAACATTTTACAAGTTTAAAAGAGCAGACGAGTAAATAGCAAAAAGTATTTCTTTGAGCAAATAGTTTTCAATGTACATTACCGGTTCTGAAATTATTGCAACCATTTAAAGAAGTAAAATATGAATGCTTTTAGGCGGGAGAGCTAGAAAGTATTGTTATTTGGTAGATGTTTTTAGTTGACTGTGACGAACAGGTTATCCCCGCAAAGTCCAGTGGTTACTATTGCTCCAGCTAACCACTCAATCATCTAACATATTTGTTACTATTGCTACAGCTAACCATCCAATCACCTACGAGATTGGTTACAGGTGCTCTAGCTAACCACCAACTCATCCAACAATCCTCTCTTAGGCCCAACTGACCGAGACGAAGGTCATGCACCTCGCCCACCGTGTGACTGAAGAGTGCAACTACAATCAAAACAACCGAGCCACCTCAGAAATGACAAACGACAGCATGCACGTCTTCATGGAAAGTTTTGGTGTCATCACACGCGATGACTACGCGGGCTTTTTAGCCTTCTACTCGTGCACCTGGACAATCTTAACCTTGTTTGGTGCGGCGGGGAACGCCGTCAACGTCCGAACGTTCGTCTGCATGGGCATCAATGACGGCTTTGCAATCTCGTTCCTAGCTCTGTCCGTTTTGGATTTGAGTTACCTCGTCGTCGCCCTGGCCATGGCCGTGTCCACGGCGTTTTTCACAGTCGAGCTCAAACAGCCTCATATCTTTTTCAGCGTCCAGCCCTACGCCCTGGCCATTTACTTTGGTAACTTTGGCGTCATGCTGTACCTGACCATTCAGCTGACCACGACGTTCATCGCGGTGGCCCGCTGCATGTGCGTGGCGAAACCGCTCCATTTCAAGAACGCGTTCACCAGACGGCGATGCGCGGCCGTGCTCTCGTGCTTAGTGTCGATTCCCGTTGTCAGCTACGTCCCGATATGGATCAACATGGCGATCGTCACCCAGTTCGACCCCAGCACAAACACGACGCGCCCTTCGCTCTGGGTCTCGCCGAGCAGAGAATTCATCAAAGACATCATCTGGACCATCGAGGACATGCTGATACCGTTCTCTACGGAGATTATTGTCCTCGTCTGCCTGATCGTCATGGCCGACGGTCTGAGAAAATCCTCAAAATTCAGGATGTCTTCGTTGTCGGGATGCAGCCTGAGCGAGTATGGGGCTTCCGGTGGTCCCCACAAGTTGAGCGGGAAGGAGCTGGTGATCGTCCAGCAGACCGCCGTGATATCCTTCTTGTACATCCTGACCAACACGCCGAAAGTGGCGTCTAACATCGTCAGCGTCTTGGTCCCCGAGTTTAACCTCGGCAAGAAGTACGGGAACCTGTATCTGGTGGTCATCAGTTTCAGAAAGCTCCTGGAGATGTGCAACTCCGCGTCCAATCTGCCAATTTATTACAAGTGCAATCCAAAATTTAGATCGCTTTGCCGGAAAATGTGCCGACTGGAAGGCCAGACAACTTGTCTTGATTGAGGAGCCGTTTTTACCAATTGGGTTGCCAACCCATTGTACGGTGGATTAGTAAAAAAATATATTTAAAAGCCGCATCTATCCCTACAAAGGGCCGCATGCGGCCCCTGAACCGCGGGTCACCGACCACAGCTCTGAAATATAATGAAATAGCAAAACGAGGTATGTGGAAGCTTGAATTGGAGAACGGGACTCTTTACTAGTCTCTGAAATATAATGAAATAGCAAAACGAGGTATGTGGAAGCTTGAATTAGAGAACAGGACTCTTTACTAGTCTCTGAAAGATAATAATGTGTCCCATTCCAAGTTTACAGCACCCCACCCCCTAACTCCCATTAAGTATTAAGAAAAAGAGTGCAAGTTAAACACATTATTCACCCACTTTTCTATAAATAAACCCAAGTAGTCCACTGTAAACGTTTCTTGAACCGAAAAGTCGTATGTATTTATTTTTTCACAACTCATTAAAAAAAATGTTAAACTGATTTCATGAGTTGAGGTTTCGTTTAACTTTAAAAAAATGTTAAACTGATTTCATGAGTTTAGGTTTCGTTTAACTTTAAAAAAATGTTAAACTGATTTCATGAGTTGAGGTTTCGATTAACCTAAAAAAAAATGTTAAACTGATTTCATGAGTTGAGGTTTCTGTTTAACTTTTAAAAATGTTAAACTGATTTCATGAGTTGAGGTTTCATTTAACTTTTAAAAAAAAAATTAATATCAATACACTAGCGATCCATACACTAGGCATGCTTCACGTCCCCGGGTTAGGCGCCTCGTTCTGGCCGGTTTGAAAGTTAGTTCTGGTACAAGCTCTGTTAAGTAGAGGCTGATTTGTCCTGCCTCTATTAGATATGCAGTGGCGACGCTACACCAGGTCCCGCCGGGCCCCAGGACCTGGTAAAAAAAAAACTTGGGACCTGGCAAATGACCTGGTAAATTTTTATGTATCCTAACTGCAGAATTATTTTGAAATGAAATGGGCCTGTGCTGTGTCAGTGTATCTGGAGTCAATGGGTCAATAGTGTGGAGTGTCACGAGTGTGGATTCTCTAGATAAACGTGATTGACCTTACAAATATGATACAATCAAATAAATTTATTATGACAATTGACAATGTATGTAAACTTTGGGTTCAGTTAGTAGATTAATAAATATTACTTAATAAATAAATTTTATTTTTAATACCCGCCAATTTGGGACCCGCCAAATTTTTTTAAGACCTGCAAGGGACCCGCCATGTTAAATTTGATGGCATCGCCACTGTAGATATACCCTCGTACAAATCAGAGCTTGATTGTTATAAAATCCCATTTTTTTAAAGTAGACCTAACTGAGCTAAAATGATGTATGTTAAAACTGCATATTTAATGTATAAGCTTAACTAAGCTAAGATTTTATGGTTTGGACTGTCTAGACTACGCTTGTGTTTCGCAGCTTACGTCTATTTATGAATGGTCAGCGTGCAGTCTAAATTCGACGACTCTTTGACCGTGAGACTGGAAAGCTGGGTTTGAAATTCCCCAAATTTCACCCTACCCTGTCATCAATGATGTTGCGGAGAAAATAAAAACACAAACGTTTAATTGATTGTAATGCAATGACATTCGCCTTGCTGTACTCTGGGAAACTACATTTAAGAGACATTTAAATAATCTTCTCTTTGAATAGATTTCATATCAGAGCGCTGTGAGCATGCTAAAAAAAAGCATGGACACAAGCTGTATACAATTAATCGCTCAACATCATCATGCATTGCAGCTAAGTGTTTATTTTGTTTTACTGATTTACGTCCGCTGAAGAAGGCTTCTTGCCAACAGGTTCATTGTCGTGTTGCGTCCTCCTCCCCCCCCCCTCCCCCCCAACAGTTTTTAAGATGTCAAAATGAAACAATATCCAGTGATTACCAGTGTGGTGATACAATAAAGATTTATGCAGTGGCAGTGACCAGGGTTTCTTTCAGCTATATCTCCCGGGGGGGGGGTACCCCCTCCCCCGGGGAAANAAAAATCTTAAGTGCCCCCCCCCCCCCGGGGAAATTTTTGAAAGAAACACTGGCAGTGACATGGACATAAGAAATTGAAGTTACCAGAGACGGGGATGATGTGGTGTGAATAAAGTAACGGCCATTGTGTGGGGTTTTGTGTCTATGTTGCGACGTTACATGTTGGACTTTTTGAAATGTTCCAAATGTATTGACTCAGTTAGGGTGCCCATTGGAGGCATGCTATGTAGTACACTTTTTCCCCGTGCGTAAACTTTCTTTGACCCCGCATTAGATTCCTAACAGACTGTAACGTTTGTTGTGGGCGTGGTTAAATCTCTTTGATGTATCTTGTTCACTACCGACTTCCAATTAAACATGGTTAGTAGGTCTACTAGTATCTTGTGGAAGAATCTCGATTGTATTAGAAAAGTAAGGGCGTTTCTAGACGCGTCGGTAGACCCACATATTTAAGGGATTGACAGGTACAGAGAGCGGCGGAGATTGATAGAGATTTGTAACTTTACGAGACGTTTATTATTGTTTGTGTTCTTATATATGTGCTTATTCGCATTTCGTCATTGTACATTATTAATTGGCACATTGTACTAACTGTGTACCGGTACAAGATATACCATACTCTGTAAGTTGATCATTTGTAATTATATTTCTTTTGTTTTATAATTGTATTATTACTAAATTAAATTTTATTAGTTGTAATTGGTACCGTTTTCGGTGTCGCATTTTTGTTATTGTATTTCTCTTTGGTATCGTCCTGTTTGAACGAGCCATAACATAAAACAAGAGATTAATTTCTCACAATAGAAGTCAGTGCGTAACAATGTAATTCTTGTATGTTAAGTCAGACAGCTAGTGCGCTTTAATGGGGTGAACATTTTGATAATATGCTGCCGTTACCTCAGAGGTTCTCAAGCTTTTCAAGTAAAGGGCCATATCTATTTGTGTTCAGTAATTCAGTGGGCCACAACGTTATAAAATTGTAAATGTTTATTCATACAGTTTCGTAAATATAGAGGCCTTAAGGGCTGACGGGCCTCAAGTCACCCGATGTAGTTTTAAAACTTCTTCTTTTTTTTTAAATCAACCTATCAGAGAATGATGTGGTAGCTGCCTCCCACAGCCTAAATCAGGGATATCAAACTCAAAGCATCCAGGGGCCACAGGTGGTAGAGTCTGATAGAGACTGGGCCGCATCAAGTATTCCACAAAAAGGCGATTACAAATTGAATAAGGCACACCTGTTACACTGTGCTCCACACTTTATTAATAATAAATACAAATATTAAGGCTTAACTTTCTTCCTCCTAATCCTTGTTGCCAAAGACATGGAAACGCTTCTTCTTACAAATCTGAGAAACATTTGAGATGAGTGAGGAAGCAACTGAGACTCTCATTATAGCATCAGTAAGTTTGGCTCTGAAATTTGACTTGTTAAAGTTCATAGAGGAAAAGAGCTTTTCTAACAGATAGGTACTCCCCAAAAGGCACATGATTCGCTTGAAAAACCTAGAAATCTCAGGGAATGTGGAGGGCAACACTCTCATAATTGTCAATGCTTGTTTGTTTTTCCATTCACCTCCCTGAACTTAGCCTTGACTTCCGAATTGCACTGAAGATCAATCAGCTCCATTTGAAGTTGAGGCGCAAAAAAAAAAAAAAAAAAAAAAAAAAAAAAAAAAAAAAAAAGAAAACAAAATGAATGGGGGATGGGGGTGGCATCTTCCACATTAAAGCAGAAAGGGTCAGCAAAAAGCTGAAAAGTGGCTGTATGTGTTTTGAAGTCTAAAAAATAAAAAAATGTGATCAAATTCTTCATGTAGTTTTGCAATGGCATCAGTATCCTTACTCTTGAATGGTGTGCCCGAGTCCATGAGTACTTTTCATGTTGGGAAATGGCAGAGGTATCTCTGAGATCCATCTAACACAATTTTTGTGCAGAATGCCCTGACATTGCCCTAGCCAACACTGACAAGCTACCCCTCGTCTGATAACTTCTTATTGAGTACAATCATCATCTGTGTAATGTGAACAAGAAAAGCCAAGTCCATGAGCCATTGGGGATCACTTAGTACAGGATCAACCATCCCAATCCTTCTCCATGAAGGCTTTGAAGGCAAAAACGTGTTCAAACAATAGGTAGGAGCTGGCGATATTTATGCATTATTGATGCGAAGGAGGTTGCTGTTGTACCGAGAATTAATTTTAATTTTTTTTTTTTATCTTACAAAAGGCCTTTTCGACTAACCCTATTTTGAAAGTGATTATACTCACGGGCTCAGAATTTTCCTCACTCGTAAACAATAGCAGCAATTTTAATAGAGATTCTTTGATACTATTTCAGATAGCTACGATTTAAACAATTACGGTTGTGCATTACCCACCAACTGAATTTTAAAACTTTTCTCGAAACCACACTTTGGCCGCCATGTTTGTCTCATAAAAATGCTATAAAATAAAAACGTTTAGTTCGATTTTAAAACTTTTTTTTTTACCATTATAATCAACGTACAAACAAAATAAAACTCAGAATTAGATTAGTCGATGATGCTCGACTGAAACCGTCGCGGAGGGTCACATTATAGAGATGAAAATTTAAAAAACGCGCGGGCCGCATAAACACTAAACTTTGCTGTCAGGTAGCGGGCTGCAAAGTATCTCTATCGGGCCGCAAATGGCCCGCGGGCCGCGAGTTTGAGACCCCTGGCCTAAATACTTTTTAAAAAAATGAAGGACAACTAGAGACCGACCGAAAGTGATTTTTTTATTTCGGCCGAAGCCGAAACTAGGCCGAACGTTAAAACTGACTTTTGGCCGAAACCGAAGCCGAAAGCAAAAGCTTAAATTCACTTTTGGCCGAAACCGAAGCCGATGCCGAAACCAACATATTTATATGTTTTAAAATTCATTCATACATGCATCCTACATACATCGATGGTGGAAAGTATC